GCCACACGCCCTGCGACGGGAAACTTTACTATTTTCTACCCGACGCACTGTCACGTTCCAGAGAGCACTGCGTGGTTTTGTTTTCCCCAAGGTCGATGGATGGATGGAAAAAAGTCGTCGTCGTCGTCGTCGTAGTCGTCATTGTCGTCGTTGTCCTAGTCGTCGTGGTCGTCATCGCTGCCGTTGGCGTTGTCATCGGCGTTGTCGACTGCAAAGGGCCTAGGCAGCACCCACACGCACCCCCCCTCCATTGGGAATCAATCCGCAGTGCGTCGTTCGCCGTCGCCGTCGTCGTCGCGTCGAAGCCGTCGTCGTCTTCGTGTTAGTCGTCATTGAAATCGTTGTTGTCGTCGTCGTTGTTGTCGTCGTTGTCGTCGACAAAAGCGCGACTCGCAGCGCAGCCCCCCCTCTGGGGCATCCGCAGTTCGTCGTCGTTCGTCGTTCGTCGTCCGTCGTCGTCGTCGGCGTCGTCGTCGTCATCGTCGCCGCCGACGCCGCCGCCGCCCCCGTCGTCGCGCCGTCGCCGTTGCCATCGTCGTCGTCGTCACGTCGTCGGCGGCGGCGGCGTCGTCGTCGGCGGCTCCAACGGGCATGCGCAGCACCCCCGCCCCCCACCATGGAGCATGCTCAGCGCGTCGTCGTCCGCCGTCGTCGTCGCCGTCGTCGTCGTATGATATTGCATGTAGTGAGGCGGGGGCAGGGGGGAGAAGGAGAAGGAGGAGCCTTTTCTGCCTGCCTCAGCCGCTCCATACCCTCTTCCTCTTCTTGTTTGTAGCCATGTCGGCACCGCCCCCCAGTTGAGGCGCATCTTTTTCCCGCCTCCTCTTTCTCCTGTCTGTTGCCACTTCGGCCCAATCGCCCCGCTATATCGGAGGGTTGCTATCCCCCCCGCTAAAGCGGTGCCGCTTGCGTCGTGCCTGTCGCCCTCCTGCTGTCGGTTTCGTGTCGGCGCTGGTCACCGGCGCCGCCGCCGTGCATTTCCCTTTGGCGGCCCCTCCCCCCGCGATTCGCACGAGCAGAGGAATCGTTGTTTTAAGCGCGCGCGCCCCGCTTGTTTTTCTTAATGCCAAGCTGACATCAGGACGGCCGCGCATGGCGCAAGTGGGCCAAGTCAGCTATTGCTGACGCTTCGACAACTGCAAGTCGCGCGCTGTGTGCAGCTAGCACAACGGATACCCACGCAGCTCGCCTGCCAGTGGGCCGCTATCCGATTGCAGGCCTTCGATCAGGTTGGTTATGGACGCTCAGGACTCCGACCTCCCGCCGCCAACTCAGGAGGAACTCGACCCCGTGGCGCTCGCGGTGCCGGAGCGCAGCCAGCCCTGGACGAAGCTGGCGGGGAAATCAGGACAGACGCAAGTGGGCTGTGGTCCATGCCGCACATGACGTTGGGTACACCGGCCACCTTCGCGTCGCACCACCTGTTCCTGCTGCCGTCGCTGGGCGGCGAGCGGGCCACCCAGCAGAACGCCGCCTGAACGTGGACTCGTGTTCGGGAGGCCGCCTACGTAGGCGACTTTCGAAAAGCAAAGCGCTTGCTAATCGGGGCAACGCTCCTCCCGCCGATGGAGGCGAGACGCGACATGCTGACCGCGCTATTGCCGCCTAAGCCCCGCCAGAGTCCAAACGCAACCCCATCGAGGGCGAGCAGATCCCCGCGTACATATGGAGCGTTCGTGCGCTGACGCACGTCAGGCCCAGCGGGGAGTGCAACTCCCACGTCCAGGCGGTCCTCAGGAACCCGCGCGCGACGCTGACCCTGCCAAGGTGGACATCGACGTGGGCCTGCTGGCGGCTGCCCGCCCTTACCCGGCAACTCTAGCTGCTCAAGCGGATCACTGCCTCGGAGAAGGGCCGGGCAAAGCGCGCCCGGCTTCCGCGCACGTCGGCTGTAACCAACATGCGTTCGGCGCTGAGGGCTGCAGTGCCGCCCCCATCACCGGGCTTCTGGCGGGCATGGCAGCTCACCAACAAGGGGCGACTTCGGGGTCGACCTCGAGAACGCCGTCGGCACGGGCTGCCGTCAGGACGCCTACGAGCAGGCCGCGCCTGCTCTCCGCGCGCGGCGACCGCGCAGCACAACATGAGGATCGGGGGTATCCGGCAGCTGTGTTACGTCTGGGTGGGGGAGCGCTTCGAGATTCTGGAGTTGCAGGAGGGTTGTTGCCAGGGCGGTTGTTACGCAACCCTTGACTTTGGCTTCGCATTTTCCGCTTTCGTTCGCGACAGTTCTGAGGCCTACTCCCAGGCGTTCCCAGATGATTGCTCTTGTCCGCGCCTCCGCCTCTTCGTCGACAACATCTGCGTCGCAGTTCCGCGTGAGCATTGGCTGCAGGCGATGCGGATCGCGACGCAGTGCTTTGCCGCGCGCGGCCTTACTTTGCGCGTTGACAAAACCAAAGCCCACGTGCCAGCTGTCCGTTCTGATCCAGCCTTCGCTGGCGAGCTCGCTGCCGAGTTGCGTTCAGTTGTTGAGTTCGACGAGTCTGGTCTTATTCCCCTTGGCGCCCACGCCGAGGGAGAGTGCAGCGCGCATTCTAGCTTTGACTGGACCGCCTTCGGCCGAATGCGAAAGCGGCGCTTGACGCTGGACGCTCGTTCGGTTGGTCTTGAACCGCGCTTGATTCATGCGACGCCTGTGTTGTTCAGCCGGCAGTATTCTTACCGTGCGCACGTCGTCTGGGCAACGCGGTGGGTGACCTTGTCCGAGCAGCTATGTTGGGGCTTGCTTGCAAGGGCCCGCAGTGGCAGGACAGCCCGTGCACTCTGACGGCGCCGCTCAGCCAATGCGGCGCGGCACTTCGACCCATCGCTTTCGACGCTCTGTTGTCTTATCTCGCCACTCTCCTTAGCACGCTCCCAGAAGTCTGTCGGCAGCTTGCCCCTGTCTTGCAGCCCGCTGTTAATCGATGCGTGGTGCGGGTGCTCCACCGTTCTCGCTGCTGCCAGGGGTTGCCTTGGACGGTTGCCTGCAAAGCGAGTTCTCTTCGACGCGTGGGCAATGCCTCGGGCGTGGCCTGACGCGCAGACAGGTGCCCGCGAATTTTCGCTCGAACGCGCCGCAGCTGCAGTCGTCGCGCTGCGGGGCCGCCGTGATTCGTTGGGTCTTCGAGTGGTCACGCCGTAGTTTATGGGCAGCGGCGCCTGGGCAGAAGAAGCACTGGCTGTCCGGAGGCGGTCTGGGCAGCGCGATTGATTGCATTGGCGGCCAACGCCACTGAAGATAAGGCCCCCTTGTCGGACGAAAAGTTCCGCGTCAATCTCCGGCAGCGCCTCTTGCTTCCTCGCTTAGGCAGCGCGCGCCTCTGCCGGCACCGGGCGCGCGCTGGTAGAGTCTGCGGCCACTTCGCCAGACGAGCGTGGAGACCACGCGATCTCTTGCATGATCGGCGGGGCCCACAACCGCGCGCACGATGGAGTCTTCGAGCTCGCGACGTGCGCTCGCACAGCTGGCCTTGCAGCCTCGCGCGAGGTCGTGCTTCCAGAAGTGGCCGATGCAACCATGCGCAAACCGCGCGTGGTCTTCCAGCTCTGGGGCTGCTGTTCGCTCCCGGTTCCCCACAGTGACGTCGTAATTTCCAACGCAGATAACCGCCGCGGCCATTCGGCGACCGCCGGTGCTGGAGCGACTGGTGCAGAGGCGCTCGGAAGCAGCGAAACACGAAGCCGGAGACGGCAACGGCGCGCAGGGACTTCCCGACGAAGTCGGCGAACATCGCCAGCCGCAGTTGTTGCGTCTGTTGCAGCCGCTGGCAGACCACAGCTGGCACCAAGCGCCCCGCTTCGCGATTGGCCCCGCGTGCTCGTCTCCTCCGCTACCACGCAAGTGGCCCAATAGTGGCTCGCTTGTGCATCTTGCTGGCGCAGGCGGTCGCGTCGTAGCTTCTCCGCGCAGGTGCTTCCAAAGCAGGGGGGAGGAGAGGGAGGAAGGACGAGGCGACGGAGGAGGAACACTTTGCTGTGGCCCTGGATCTTGACCACCAGAGGCCTCCAGAGGCTCCCCCAGACGGCAGCAAGCCTCGCCGGGAGCGGGGGCATCCCCGGGCCCCCTCTCGTCGCGAAAGCGGCGTGAGGTTTTTGGGCAGTTTCGGCTCCCAGGGTGCTGCCGAGCCCCAAGCGCTGTCAAACACCAGCCGGGGATACAGTGCCGCTCCCAGGGAAGAGGTCGAGATTTGGGAGATCCTTTGCTTCGTGTGCACACAAGAGGGACCTTTCGCCGAAATGGCAACTGGTGCGGGCACAGTGGGCTCCCCCAAATGGCTGAACGCACTGCGATAGCAACGGGTTGCGCGCTCGGGATTGGCCAACCCCCACCCCCCCTAAAGTCCCGCACCAATGGTCACTCTGGCCTGGGGTCAATCTTGCGTGTAGCCAAATGTTGCAAGGAGTTTGCAAACAAGGTCGGGGGGTTCGTGGCCGTCGCCGCCGCCATCGTCAATCGTCGTCCGTCGCCGTTCGCCGTCTTCAGGCGTCGTCGTCGCCGCTCTCCTCGGTCGTCGCCGTCCTCAGTCGCCGCCGCCGTGCGTCGGCCGTCGCCCGCGGTCGCTGGACCCTGCGGCGGTCGTCGTCCCCCGCCCCCCTTTAGTTCGGTGGAGCAAAAGAGCAATAGGTTACGAGAGTGATGCAATCCATGCATTTTAGGATTCCCAAGACTTCCTGATGTCCCACGGGGGCTGCAGAAACGAGGGCCGCTAGATCATATGGAAGCCTGAAGCGCATCCGGAACCAATCCTGTCATGACATCATTCCCGTCCTTCGGCGGCGAGCCAGGGGGGAAGTGAAAAGGGGCGGACCTTCTCGGAAGGCTCGGAAGCCCCCCGGCCTTCCGAGAAGTTGTCTGAGCTTTCCCCGAAGGCACGGAACATCCGTCACAGGGCCAGAGGGCCTCTGAGAAACCCCGCCGCCTTCCCAGAAGGCCTTCCCCTTCCCACTTCCCCACCTCATCGTTCGCCGCCGAGTCCCAGTCGCCTCCGGAGCCCAGAGAGGAGGCGGGGCTCCAGCGGCGCCCCCCGTGCATGGCGTCCGAGGGCGTGCTGCCGCGGTGGGCGCTGGGCGACGGCGAGCGGCGGCCGCCCCAGAGGGGTGAAGTCAATTTTCAAGGGCCCGCGCGCGCGTCCGCCGGGGAGCGGCCCCGCGGTTCCAATCGGGGTTCCTCCTCCTCCTCCTCCTCCTCCTCCTCCTTCTCCTCCGCCTGCTCCTCCTCCTGGTTCCCTCCTCCTCCTCCTCCTCCTCCTCCTCCTTTTTCTCCTCGTCCTCCTCCTCCTCCTCATCCTCCTCCTCCTCCTCTCCTCCTCCTCTTCCTCCTCCCTTCCTCCTCCTCCTCCTCCTCCTCCTCTCCTCCTCCTCCTCTCCTCCTTCCTCCTTTTCCTTTTCCTCTCCTCCTCCTCCTCCTCCTCCTCCTCCCCCCTCCTCCTCCTCCTCCTCCTCCTGCGCCGCGCGCGGGTCCTCCCGCGGCCCGAGCGCTGCAATTGGGAGCCGGCGCGACCCCTCCACCTTAGGCGCGGCCCACCGCTCGGCGAAAAGCCACCCCCGAGGAGGAAGGGGTGCGCCGGCCGAGGCCTATAGATGGCTTGCCAGGGACCACGTAGGCGAGCGCCTCGCCCCCGTGGCCGCTTGGCCTGCGGCCTGGGCCCTGCGGCCCCACGGCCAGGCGCCGCGGTCCCACCGCCAGGCGCCAGCCCGCCGCCCGCGGCCCAGCCCGCAGCGCCGCCCCGCCGTCAGCCAGCGCGCCAGCCCGCCAGCGCGCCCCGCCAGGCCAGCCCGCGCAGCAGCAGCCCCGCGCCGCCGCCCGCCCGCCCAGCGGCGGTGGCCAGCAGCAGGCCCCCGCCTGCCGGCCAGCGCGTCGGGCCCGCTGGCTGGCCGCGCCGGCCGCCCGGTCAGCGGTCAGCGGACAGCTGCCCGAGCGGTCGAGCTCAGGCGCGCCTCGCGCGCCGCGCAGGCGGCGCGCCGGGGTCCGCGGCGGGCAGCCGCCGCGCCGCGGCGCCCTGTGGCAGCGCGGCCGTGCGCCAGGCCTCCGCGTGGCCGCGCTGTAGTGTCGCTGCGGAAAGGTTTTGCCGCGAGGCCGCCAGGATCTGCGGGTCCCCGGCGGCCCAGGTGCGCAGCAGGGCCCGCGTTTCCTTGCCAGGCCGGCCCAGCGTCTCCAGGGCGAAGGCGTGCAGCGCAGGTCCCAGGTAGCGCTGGTGCTTGCGCTCTTGGGCCGCCGCGTCCGCGGCGCCGTCCCGGGTCGCGCGGCTGCGGCCTGCGCCCGTGCCAGCCCCGAGCGCGGCGTCGGTGAGTGTGACGTCGACGCCCTGCCGCCCTGCCACAGGGTCGACGAACGCCACGTCGAGGCGCGCGGTTTCCCCGCTGCCATCCGGGCGGGCGCGGTCCCAAGCAGGCACGTCCTTTTCGGTGGCCACGCCAGCGGCGCCCCGCTCAGCCAGCCAGCCGGCCAGCCAGTCGCGCCCGCCATCGTGCTTGTCGATGGCCAGCCCGCCCGCTGGGCAGCCCGCCGCGAGGCCGGGGTTTGCCCGCAGGTCGCAGCCGCAAGCCGTGCCGCCGCGCCTCCGACGCAAGTGCGTAGGCCTAGCACCCTCGGGCAGCGGCACGCAAAGCTGGAGGGCGAACGCAGGCCGCAGGTGCTCGTCGGCGAGGATGTGGTCCCGCCGCGTCGGCAGAAGGAAAGCGCCCGCGCCCTTGCCGCCCGCGGAGCGGAAGCCGGCGGCCTGGCTCGCGGGCACGGAGGCCAGCAGGCGAGCGCGCCGCTGCTCCTGCGCCGGCTGAGCCAGGCGCTTGTGCGCCTTCTCCCGGCGTTCCGCTGTGGCGCAGACCCAGCTAGTAGCGCTTGCGACAGCCAGCCGCCCCGCCTGCTCGGCCGCCGCCCACGTCTGAGGGCCGCCTCCTCCTCCTCCTCCTCCTCCTCCTCCTCCTCCTCCTCCTCCTTTTTCGTCCCCCTCCTCCCCCTCCTCGTCCTCCTCCTCCTCCTCCTTTTTTTTCTCCTCCTCGTCCTCCTCCTCCTCCTCCTTCTCCTTCTCCTTCTCCTCCTCCTTGTCCTCCTCCTGTTCCTCCTCCTCCTCCTCCTCCCGTTCTTCTCCTCCTCCTCCTCCTCTTCCTCCTCCTCCTCCTCGGATACGGGGGTCAATGCACGCGGGGGTCAGTCAGAGCGCTGGATATTGCAGGATCCTGCAGAGCCAGGGTCGCATGGGCCCGGGCTCGGGCGCAGGATCCTGCAGGATCCTGCAGGATCTTGCAAGAGCCTGCAAGGCCTGACTGACCCGGGTCTGGATTGACCCGGGCCAGTAGATTCCCGATCCAAACAACCGCTGGACCTCCCACCGCCCAGGGCTCGTTCCGATCCCTCCGACGCTGATTCTCGCTTCGATCTCGATGGTTGTTCCCCCCAGACTCGCGCCTCGACCTCGGGTTCCGATCTGGGCTCCTCATAGTTTCGCAATGGGGGCCTGCTGGCCTGCCGATTCCCGCCGATTCGACTCTTCCCGGCGCGGCTTCCGATGTCCGCCGGTCACCGTTTCTTGTCGATCGCCGATCCGATTGATCGGTTCGATTCTGGGATCGCCTGACCGCCACGAAGGAGGCTGTCGAAGAGAGCAGAGTTCGAGTCGGAGATCGGCTGCAGACTTGACTCACCCCAGAATCGAGATGTTTGTTCGTCGAAAGCCGTAGCAGCGTCGTCGATCTACGATCCCCCTACATCTGTGCTGTAAAATCGACGAGCGTGTGGTGGGGGTAATTAAGGAATGTGCCCAGGAGGCTCCAGACCCTGACGGATCCCTTCTCTGATGAGGGCGGCGGTGATATCCATGGCCAACCCATGCGTTCCTTATCCAATGGTTCCTTACCCGATGCCCTTACCGTACTCATATCGGGATAGATCGATGGATGTTGTAGTCGACCCTCCTCGTCCTCCCCTCCCCCCCGTTCCTTGCTCTCTCGGCCATCTAGCTGCGGCCCGATGATAGTTCGTTGTTGATTTGTCGCTGGCGTTGACCCTGCAGGGTAATCCACAGGTGCCGCCGCAGCCATTGCTTGTCGCCCAGCGTGGCTTGGCACTTCACCGCCCGAGGCCTTGGGAACCCGCGGGCCTCATGAGATCCCCCCCCAAAAAAACAGGATACTTTAGTCCACTCCCTTTCGTGCCCCTCGCTTAGCATGCCACGGGATGTCCTGGCCGCGCTGCCGAGGGGGATCGAGCTGTGATGGCCACGGGGCCCGAAGCCGAGGCGACAGCGCGCGGCGTTCGAGTACTGGCCACGCCCAGACCTGAGGCCGCCCACGTCGCAAAAGCATCCGAGCGGAGTTGTGGCATGCTTCTTCGGCCTGGGGGCCCTCGCTGGGCCCCCGCGGCTCGGGAAGAGAGGCCTGTCCTCGGGGAGCTGGCCGGGCGGGCCGCGCGTCGAGGGGAGCGGGCTCGGCTCGGCGCGGCCGACGCAGTGGCGTGGCCTGTCGGCTCGGCGTCGATGCTCGCACCCGCGAGCATGGCGCCGTGGCGCTGAGGGCGCCGTGGCGCTGAGGGTCCGCGGGGCACGGAGCGGCAAGGCCCGCCCTGGCCGTGCCAACGCTTCTGGCCTCAGCGGCGAGGCAGAGAAGTGCGGCTCCGGCGGGCGGCGGTCGGGGCGACCCGTACGTGATTGCGCGAAGTGGCCGGCGTGCGAGGGAAGGAGGGAGTGCAACAAAAACCAAGGATTGTAAAAAAAAACAAGGATTGCAAATAAAAACCCAAGAACGAAGGATTGCAAAAATTAGCCTGGCGAAGGACCCAACCATATGCAGCTGCGAGTACCGCACGGATATGAGACGAAGGAGGGGGCACGCAAACTAGGCCCCTCTTCTCATAGGCACCGCGCCACTGGGGCCTTCGGTGGAGCTCCCTATGGGGCCACGAAACGTGTGAAGGGTGTGCCGAAATGGGTGGTGGGGAGGCATGCGGACCCTGCCACTGGGGCCTTCGGTGGAGCTCCCTATGGGGCCACGAAACGTGTGAGGGGTGTGCCGAAATGGGTGGTGGGGAGGCATGCGAACGCAGCCACTGGGGCCTTCGGTGGAGCTCCCTATGGGGCCACGAAACGTGTGAGGGGTGTGCCGAAATGGGTGGTGGGGAGCCACTGGGGCCTTCGGTGGAGCTCCCTATGGGGCCACGAAACGTATGAGGGGTGTGCCGAAATGGGTGGTGGGGACGCATGCGAACGCAACCACTGGGGCCCCTTCGGTGGAGCTCCCTATGGGGCCACGAAACGTGTGAGGGGTGGGCCGAAATGGGCGAGGGGCGGCATGCCAACTCTGCCACTGGGGCCTTCGGTGGAGCTCATTATGGGGCCACGAAACGTGTCAAGGGTGTGCGACATGGGTGGCGCGGACGCATGCGAACCCTTCCACTGGGGCCGTCGGTGGAACTCCCAATGGGGCCACGAAACGTGTGAGGGGTGTGCAAAAGTGGGTGGGGGCGGCATGCGAACCCTGCCACGGGGGCCTTCGGTAGAGCACCCTATGGGGCCACGAAATGCGTGAGGGGTGTGCCAAAGTGGGGTGGGGGCGGCATGCGAACCCTGCCACTGGGGCCGTCGGTGGAGCTCCCTATGGGGCCACGAAACGTGTGAGGGGTGTGCCAAAGTGAGGTGGGGGCGGCATGCGAACCCTGCCACTGGGGCCTTCGGTGGAGCTCCCTATGAGGCCACGAAACGTGTGAGGGGTGTGCCAAAGTGGGGCGGGGGCGGCATGCGAACCCTGCCACTGGGGCCTTCGGTGGAGCTACCTATGGGGCCACGAAACGCGTGAGGGGTGTGCCAAAGTGAGGTGGGGGCGGCATGCGAACCCTGCCACTGGGGCCTTCGGTGGAGCTACCTATGGGGCCACGAAATGCGTGTGAGGGGTGTGCCAAAGTGGGTGGGGGCGGCATGCGAACCCTGCCACTGGGGCCGTCGGTGGAGCTCCTGTGGGGCCACGAAACGTGTGAGGGGTGTGCCAAAGTGGGGTGGGGGCGGCATGCGAACCCTGCCACTGGGGCCTTCGGTGGAGCTACCTATGGGGCCACGAAACGTGTGAGGGGTGTGCCAAAGTGGGGTGGGGGCGGCATGCGAACCCTGCCACTGGGGCCTTCGGTGGAGCTCCCTATGGGGCCACGAAACGTGTGAGGGGTGTGCGGAAATGGGAACTAATGGCGATGGCGATGATGATGATGATGATGATGATGATGATGATGATGATGATGATGATGATGATGATGATGATGATGATGATGATGATGATGATGATGACGATGATGATGATGACGATGGATGGAACTGGCGATGGTGATGATGATGACGATGATGATGCTGGTGGTGATGATGACGAGGATGATGATGATGATGATGATGATGATGATGATGATGATGAGATGATGATGATGATGATGATGATGATGATGACGATGATGATGATGATGATGATGATGATGATGATGATGATGATGATGATGATGATGATGATGATGATGATGATGATGATGACGATGAGTATGATGACGGCGATGGGACGAGGGAGGAGGGGGGAGAGGAGGAGGAGGAGAGGAGAGGAGAGGAGAGGAGACGCGGGGCGCTGTCTCTTCAAAACGAGGACCCAACACCACAGGATGGTTGGGAAAAAACCCTTTGCAATCCTTCGTTCAAAAGGGTTTTTTTTTGCGATCCTTCGTTCAGGGGGGGACAGGGCGACCGCAGTGCCCTGCCAGCACCTGCGGCGCGCTCCCGAAAGGGCCTCGCCCCTCCCGGGAGCCTCGCCTCCCCAGCGGACGCCGGCGGAAGCAGCACGGCGGCGGCGGGCCCGCTGGGGGAAGCCGGCGGGGGACGGGCGGAAGTGCGCGGGAGCTGAGGCTGAGGCGTGTGGGCCTGCCGCTCCGCGCCCGCTGTCCGTTTCAGGGCCTCGTTTCGGATTGGAAACGCGCCGCGCCGTTTTCACGGTTGTGCTGGAGCCCCCGCCAAACTTCCGAGGCAATGGGAGTCGCGTTGAAAAAGGGAAGCAGGCGGCGTGGTTCGGGTGAAGTATAGGCACCGATGCGGTTGCTCCCCCTTCGTCCGCTTCCAGGGGGACGAAAAACGACATGCACATAACATTCGCCGCTCCGCGCGCCAGGGAGGGGGGGGTCCAGCGCCGATCCGAGAAATCCGCGCGGACCTCCGAGATTTTATGTTCATATGATTTTTCGACCCCTAGTTTCGGGCCTCAGGGGAGGCCCTCGTCACTACCGCTGGATCCGCCTCGAAGTTCTGGCGAGAGCGCTCCTCGGACCGGTATTGGTACCTTGTGGTTGCCCCGAAGGCCTGCCGTGCTGAGCCTCAGGCGCCACTCTAGGCCTCCCAGATGGGGTCGAGGTAGATGGTGTCGGCGAGTCGCGCCGCGTCGCCGATGCAACGGCGGGTCGGGTCGATGTGAAGCACGATAAGGCAGGAATTTTAGCATTACCACCGCCTGGAAGATGAATTTTCGGGAACCTCGGCAGGCGGTGGAGAAGGACATGTTCGGGCCCCCCGGGGCCTAAATATGATTATCCACATCCACCGCAGGCTGGGGCACCAGGGCGTCGGTTCCCAGGCGATGGACGTGGAGAAACCCCCGCCTCGCAGACATTCTCCACGCCGACGGCCCCGATGCATTCCAGGGTTCAGCGCCGTCCTTCGACCCGCGGGGGCCCCCACACCCCGTGTCGGCATTGTTGCCAGATCCCAAGCCTCGAAGCGTAGCCTCGAACAGTGAAGGTTCAACTCGTGATTGCCTTCCTGTCCGAAGGCCCCATCCCCCAAGGCCCCATCTTTCAAGGGCATAAAAAACGCCCCAACCCTGCTTTATGAGGCGCTGTGCGCTGAAACTCCTGTGATGTGCCGCGTCCTGGCGGCTCTAGGCTTTGGGGGTTCCCAGGAGGTTTACAGACCGCGCACTTGTAACCCAGGGTAGGGTCGTTTTTTCATCCCTCAAGTTTCGCCTGAGACTTCCTTTACACAACTGGGGAAGCGGACAACGACATCAACACTCGGAGCTCCGCGCGGACTTCTCGGATCGGCGCTGGACTCCCCTCCAGGGGCGGCGCAGGACGCGCCTCCAGGGGGCCTCAGCGCCGATCAGAGAAATCCGCGCAGACCTCCGAGTTGTTATGTGCATGTCGTTTTTCGCCCCCCTGGAAACCGACGAAGGGGGAGCCACCGCATCGGTGCCTCTACCTGCCCCCGGGCGGAGCCCCCAGCGCCGCCCGGGGGCCCCGGCGCCGATCCGAGCCATCACCGCGCGGACCTCCGTGTGGGGCCCGGCCTCGCTCCGCCCCGCCACGGCCCGGCCCGGCCGGGCCACGCCTCCGCCCACGCGTTGGCATCGCTCGGACGTGTGCATGTTTCCTGCGGCGAGGACCACCGAGGAGCATCCTTGACCATGTGGCGACAAAAGCCACGCGCGAAACGGAAAAAAAAAAAAACACGGGGAATGGACGTCCGAGCGATGGCCAGCCACGGGCCCGCGGGGGAGGAGGAGGCGAGCACGTGCGGGGCCGATCGGCGCCGGCCGGCTCGAGCCGGGCGCCGGCCCGAGGTGCACGCCGCGCTGCGAGGTGGGCTACTTCCCCGGGGGCCTCAACGCCTCCCTGTCGGAGGACGTCGAGGCCCAGACTCTCCTCCTCCTCCTCCCCTTCCTCCTCCTCCTCCTCCTCCTCCTCCTCCTCCTCCTCCTCCTCCTCCTCCTTCCTCGGAGGACGTCGAGGCTCAGATGAGGAAATGGCACCCAGACCGCTGCCCTTCCCTCGTTTTCCCCTTTTTCGGGGCATCCTGGGAGGCCCACGTCGCCACCGCTGGCGTATCCTTGAAATTTTGGTCAGAGCGCACCCCGGGAGCGGTCCAGGAGTAACTAGCGGTATGGGTAGCTAGACTTCCTAAGTAGATGGGGTCGGAGCAGATCGGGGTCGGAGGACCGCGCCGTATCGACGATGCATCGGCGATGCGGCTCGATGTGGAGCCCGATTGTCTCCACGCTGCCATGCCGCTGATGCATCGCCGATTCCGATGTATGGCGATGCGGCGCGATCCTCCGACCCCATCAACTCCGACCTCATCTGGGAGTACCTTCTTGGGCCCCCGCAGAGGCGGCCGCGGCGACGTGCGAGAAGGCTCGCGCGCGGCTGGGGGCGGGGCCGCGCCCGTCGGTCCTCCACGAGGGGGGCAGTCATCCCGAGTCCTGCCCCGGGGCAGGCGGTTGGCAGCGGGCTGGTCTGCTCCTGGAGCGGCCCGGCCCCGCTGCCGCAGGAGCGGTGGAAGCGTTACGCACCGAGCGCGCTTCACTGCCCGCCAAGTGCCTGCTCGCAAGCGTTCGAAACAACACGTGCTCGCCTCTATAGCCATCGTTTTTTATTCATTGTTTCGCCGATCGGCGCGGTCCCTCGCACCCCCCCTCCCCTCCTGGAGTAGATGTTGGCTGTGTTTGGTGCCTGTTTCGAGCAGGTGGAGTCTTCTCCCCCATCATGTACGCCCTGTTCCAAGCAGTGGCACTAAGCAGGGGTACGGAGCCAGACCCCCCTCCCTCCCCCCCTTCTCTGCTCAATGTCGACTAGCCGAATAAGAAAACGTTGGCATAGAATGGACCGCAAAACGCCCGCGGCGGATCCAGGCCATCTGCGGGCGGTTACCTCGCGAGCAGTGGAGCGCGCTTGTCAGGTTACGCGCTGCACCTCCCGTCTCCCCCCCCTCCCGTGCCCCCCACCCCCGCCCCACGGCCCAGTGGGACCGTCCGCAAGCGCTCCGAATTATCAAATGTGGCATTTTCACCCACCCAGCACGGCGCTTCGTGGCCCCATAGAGAGCTCCACCGAAGGCCCCAGTGCCACCGTCCAGATGCGTCCCGAAAACCCAATGTGGCATTGTCACCCACCCAGAAAAACGCTTCACGGCCCCATACGGAGCTCCACCAAAGCCCCCAGTGGGACCGTCCGCATGCGTCCCGGAAACCCAATTTGGCATTTTCGCGCACCCAGTACAGCGCTTCGTGGCCCCATAGGGAGCCCCACCGCAGGTCCCAGTGCTACCGTCCGCATGCGTCTCGGAAACCAAATTTGGCACACCACCCACCCAGTACAGCGTTCCCCCCACCCAGTGCAGCGCTTCGTGGTCCCATAGGGAGCTTCACCGAAGAAGATATTCACAATTGCGGTACCCGCAACTGCATATGGTTGGGTCCTTCGCCAGGATAATTGTTAAAAAGCCTTGGCGGGCAACGGCCATGGGGGCCAAAAGGAACCAGGAACCAGGAGGAGGGGGATGAGAACGAAAAAATGAGCATATTGAGGACGACTCAAGATGCTGAGGATCAGAAGCAGGATGAGGAGCAGGAGGAGGAGGAGGCGGAGCAGAGGAGGAGGAGCAGGGGGAGGGGGAGGAGGAGGAGGAGGAGGAGGAGGAGGAGGAGGAGGAGCAGGAGGAGGACCTGCATCAGGGCGGGGAGGAGGACGAGGCGGACAAAGAGCAGGGCATCGGGGAGAGGAAGGGGGCACTGGTGCGTTGGCCTGATGCCCCACGCGGTGGAGGAGGCAAATGCGGACGCAGTGGAAGCCACGTTGTCGTGCAAGCACGCATCTGCACTTGTGGCGTGGCGCGAGGACGAGTGCAGCAAGAGAGGAGATACAGGAAGATGAGGAGACGCAGCAGCAGCAGGAGGAGGAGGAGGAGGAGGAGGAGGAGGAGCTGCACCACGTGGAGGGAATCATGGAGGAGGACGCCTTGGGGGCCGCTGGCACGAGCTGGTGGACGAGCTGGAGACACGCATCCGTGAGCGCAATCACGAGGCATCCCAGGCGCGTCTGCACTGCCCAGAGGACGGGGGCCCTGGCCGGGAGGAGTGGCGCTGGCGCAGGTCTGCGGTCGCCAAGATGACGCATGATTGCACCAGGACTGCGGCGCAGATCCTCCCAGGATTAGGTCGGACATGTCCCCCATACGGGCGGATTTTTTTGACGAAGAACTGCAAATACTCAATATCAAACAATAGTCACAATTGTAGGGAAAATCGTCCCGATTCTATATTTTGACCATTTTCGAATATTCCTCCTGTAGTGGGAAAGGCCCGACTTAATCCAGGGACAGACTTTGTTGCCAGCATGCTCGGTCACGGCAGCCGCATAGAGTGATCAGCTAGTGCAGCATCGTTTCGACGCCGTCGATCTTGGCAAGGCCTTGGATGAGGCCTGGAAGGCAGCGGAGCAGGCCAAAATGAATGTCAATGAGAAGGACGCGAGGTACAAGCTGCAGCAGTTGCGCGTGGGAGCGCAAGCCGGAGGATCCGCAACGTGCACCGACGCTCCGTGCGCCACTGGAGAGGGGAAGGGGGGCGTCAGGTGCCTCGCAGCCTGGGCCCAGGCGTGGGCCAACGGCAAGGTGCCCCCATGCCTCGCACGCCTCATGCTGGAGCAAGTCTTGAGGCCCGTGAAGAAGGATAACGGGAAGCTGCGAAACATCGCGCAGATGGAGTGCCTCTTCAAGTTCGCGAGTGGTGTAGTCCAGGAGGCTGTTCGACACCAGCGGCCGTGCGAGGGCGACTCCAACTCCGAGGGGCTGCACTGGACGCAGCATGGAGGTCAGCCAGCGGGACCGGAGCTTATGCTCATAGTGCACCAAGGGGTTATGAAGTTATGCCCCAAGTTGGCTGATTGCAGCCTGGACGCGGCGAACGCCTTCGGCACCATCGCGCGCGCCGCCATGCTCCGGGGCATGACGGCCTGGTGCCCTGCCAACGCGGCATTCCTGGCAGGCATCTGGAGCGCGCCCAACACGGCGCTCATAGAGGAGTAGGAGGGCCGTTGGAGGAGCATCTGGGCGGAGGAGGGCACGGCGCAAGGTGATACATCCTCAACGCCTGCCTTCTCGCGAGGCTTGAGGCTGTGCCTGCAAGCTGCTGGCGCTCGCCTGGCGACCAAGTAGATCTGGGCCCTCGGCATCCTCGAGGAAGAAATGCCCGCGCTAGCCTCAAGCTCAACTCCTCTAAGAGTGCAGCGTGCATCCCCGAGCGTAGCGAAGGGGCTCGGACCCGACCCGGCCATCACAAAACTCAAGCAGGTGGAGGGCGGCTTGCTTGCCCTGGGCAGCGCGAGTGGGGGCGAGTTCGAGACCGAAGTGGGCCCCTTCTCAGTGACGGCGGAGCGGGCTCGAAGGCGGCTTGAAGCAGCGAGCAGATTGGCCAGGGAATGCGCGCGCTACCGCGGCGAAGGCCGCGAGGAGGCGACGTGGCAGACAGCGTGGCGTGTCCTACGTAAGGTGGTGTCGAAAGCCCTCGTGTACGACGCCCGCACCGTGGAGCCTGAGGCTAGCCTGCCGCTTGCGGAAGAGCTGGACAGCATCGTCGGCGACGCTGCCCAGACGATGCTGGGTGTGTAAGCCCACGACGGGTGGTCGGAAGATTCCCAGCTACAGTGGGCACCAGCGCTCGGCGGCATGGACTTCGGTTCTCCGACCTTGGGGGTGGGGGTGGGCCGGCTGGCCGCGCTTGAGCACTGCTTGCCAGTTGCGCGGCAGCACTTGCGAGCATTGCTGCCAGAGGCCACCGAGGAGGAGATCCTAAACGCCATCCCACTCGCTGGGGCCGAACGCATGCAGGAGTGGCTGAAGGCGACGCACGGCATCGAACTCAGCGCCTCTGGCACGATCGCCCAGGAGTCCGAGCCGCAATGAGACCTCAAGGCGCATTGCGAGCCCATACGGGGGCTGCGCAGCACAGTATCCAGGGCGGTGCAGGAGGCGCAGAGGGCGGATATGCTCGACATGCACGCGCAGGCGGTGGAGTCCTGCAACCAAGAGGCCCAGCGAGCTGCCCGGCAAGACCCCGCCGAGAGCGAGCGCCTCAAGGGACAGGCGACGGCGCACTTACGCTACTGCGCCCGCCTGCGGTCGTCGGCAGGCACAGTGGCGAGCGACTGGGTCGCGCTGTGCCCGAGCGACCGCCCCCTCAAGCTGAACGACGACGAGTTGCAGTTTGGGGTGCGGCGGCGGCTTTGCCTGCCAAGGATGCGCGAGACCACCTGCCAGCACAAGCCTTGCGGGAAGAAGGGCGAGGAGGCGCCGCGGTGTGGCAAGCTCTGCGACCGACTTGGCGACCACGCGCAGCTGTGCGGAGTCGGAAGGGGACGCTACCGCGCGCGCGATACAGTGCGCGCATGCGCGCGCTGATTCGCGACCCAGAGCGGCGTTGAGGCCGAAGCCGAGGAGGTCTGCCCGCAGCTCCCGCAGGGAGAGCCTGGGACAGACGACGCCGTGGAGGCCCGGCTTGACGTCCACCTTTGGGGGCACGGCCCAGAGCTCCTAGGAGCTTGGGTGGATGTCACCGTGGCGAACCCCGTCAGGTTTGAGAAGCGGCGCCAGGCAGCAGACCGCGACGCCGTCGCGGAGGAGGCCGCGGAGGACGCCAAACTCACGAGGTATGGCGAGGGCCGGGGAGGCTTCAAATTCTCCTCGTTCGGCCTCGAAGCGTTCGGCCGCCTAGACCGGCACGCCCTCGCAGTCCTCGAGGACTCAGCTTTCCAGCGGGCCGCGGGGGCAGCGGGGCAGCCGGCGCGCTCGTTCCAGAGGTGGCGCGCGAAGCTGCGCGTCGCGCTTGTCTGGGCGCTCGCGGAGATCGGGGCGAGCG